GGTAAAGTTTGTTTTTGAAGGTGAAGTAATTTTCCTTGAGTATGTATTCAAGGAACTGATGTATGACTTTGCGAAGAGGCCACATGCGCCCATGTTTGGAATCTAATGCTTCGAGAGTAGCATTTATTCCTTCATTGTGTGGGATGTTTGTGTATAAGGATTTGACATCAATGGTGGCCATGATTGTGTTTGGTGGTAATGGTATTTCAATGCTGAAAATGATTTGTAGGAAATGATTTGTGTCTTTTATGTAGGATGGCAGAGTGGTGCAGAATGGTTGTAAATGTGTGTCAATGAATGAGGAAAGCTTGTCTGTTGGTGAATCACATCCGGATATGATTGGTCTGCCTGGATTTCCAGGTTTGTGTATTTTTGGTAGTAGGTAGAAGATAGGTATGCGGGGGGGTGTGGGTGGTAACAGGTATGTCATGGTTTTGTAGTCAATGTCTCCATATTTAAAGAGATCTTTGACATACTGTGTGATTTTTTGGTTGTGTTGTGATGACTGATATTGGAGTGGCCTGTATGTGTTGGTAATATTTTTTGTCATTAAGTTGAGAGAGGGCTTCTTTTTCATAGTCGAGAGTAGACCATATAACGATAGCTCCCCCTTTGTCTGCTGGTTTGATGACATATTTTTGATTGTGAATGTTATGTGAAGCGAGGAAGTTTGTTTCTTCCTCAGTGAGGTTTGTGATGTGTTCTGTTGATGTTCCATGTTTGAAGGTGAGGTTGTTGGATTCTGCTACTGAGCAGATGTATGAGATGAGGTTAGGGTTATCTGGGAGTGATGGTTGCCAAGTGCTGGTAGTTTTGAGGGGGTTTGGTTGTTCGTTGGGGGAATTTCGAAAATGGTAATGTATGTACATGGAACGTCTGAATTGTTTAAAGGCATTGGTGATTGTTTTTAGACTGGTATTGTCTGGTGTGGGTATGAATTTTAAGCCCTTTGTGAGCAATGATTTGAGTGGTGGTGCGAGTGTCTGGTTTGTCAGGTTGACTATGAGATTGTTGTTGGTATGATTTGTGATTTGGTCACGATAATGTTTTTTATCGTGGTTTTTGTGGGTGGCTTTCCGTCGAGTGGTGTCATGAAAGAATGCTTTTATGGCTTTTCTTTCATGAACATGTTGTATATGGTGGGGAACTGTGCCTGTTTCCCCACCAGGCGTTTGCGGATGGTTGCTGTTAATGTCTCGTTGGACATTGGTATGGGTGTTTGTGTTGATTTGATGGGTGGAGGTGTCGGTTTGGGATGGGGATGTGGCCGTTTCCGAAAACCCGAGGGGGTTGGTGGTGTTGTTTGGTGGGTGTGTGGTGTTGTTTGGTGGGCGTGTGGTGTTGTTTGGTGGGTGGGTGGTGTGGATTTGGTGCGTTTGTATGGTGGTTGAAGGGTGGATTTGTGGCGGCTTTTATTTTTTTTGTATTTTTGTTTATGTTTTTGATTGGAGGTGCTGGCAATGTCAAGGATGGTAGTGGAGACGTCTTTTGTGTATGTGTTTTGGACAGATTTGGAGAGTGTGGCTATGTGTTCTCCAATTTTTTCCAATTGTTGAGTGTGGTGCTGGTGTAGTATGGAGGTGAGTTGTGTTTGGCAGTTTTGGATGTGGTTGTCCCATGCTTGTTGGTATTCTGGGGACAACTGAGTCCAGGGTTGTAATTTGATGGTTAAACCAGTGGGTGTTGTGTGGTGATTTATGTGTTTGTTGAGGATAGTTTGTTCGCGTTGATGGTATGAGTGGGTTTTGTGGAGTTCAACCAGTTGGTTGAAGGTGGTGGATGGTGTGTGACTGAAATTGGTGGGAATTGATGAAGTGGATGGTTGATGTGGGGCAAGGATGGTTGGGCTATGGGTGTTGGGAGAGGAGGTGTTTATTGAGGTTGGGAGAGGTATGTTAGGGGATGTGGGAGGGTCGGTTGAGGTTGGAGTGCCTGGAGATGTGGTTGGTGTTTGGGAGGATATGGTGGTTTGGGTTATATTGAACGTTGGGTAGTTGGGCTGTGGTTGTGCCAGGTGCTTTGGGGAGACTGGTGAATCTTCGGTGGTTGTCTGGGTATTGGGGTGGGTTGGAGAACTGAGGAATTCATCCATCTCATGGTCAGACAAGGCGAGTAGGGTAGCCAGATCCCCCCCGTTAGTGTCTAAGAGGTTGATTTCCATCTTATTTGTCTTTCAAAAAATTTGCTAGATATGGATGGGGTGAAAAAATTGTTAAGAGTGTGGTTTTTACTAGTGGTGTGGTTGTTATTCTGTGTCTTGTTATTATTCAATCAATGACACATTTAATCAATAACACATTTAGAAAAATTGGCGACCCATGTAGCAATCCCATATGGCCAGGAGATCTCTTGATACTTAACCTTTTCCTGCTATGTTATAACACCGTTTTTAGTCAATATTTTTATTTTATATGTAGTTGCAGGTATTCGGATCCTGTGGAGATTGCTATGCCCTCATTGTAGGGTTGTTGGAGGGCGCCTTTTGAATATGAGATGGTGGCAATGTCGCAATGATGAAGATGGATGATTGGTAAAACTTGATATTATTCTGTTGTAGGAATTGTGTAGTGAGGAACATCACATCACATCACATCACATCACATCACATCACATCACATCACATCACATCACATCACATCACATCACATCACATCACATCACATCACATCACATCACATCACATCACATCACATGACATCACATGACATCACATCACATCACATGACATGACATCACATCACATCACATCACATCACATCACATCACATCACATGACATCACATCACATGACATGACATGACATCACATCACATCACATCAC